CCCCTCCCCCTCCCCTCCCCCTCCCCTCCCCCCGCCCGGCTGCAGTGCAGTGTGGGTCGGGTCTGCGTGGAGCATCCATGCGAGGCAGCGGGTCGCCACTCCTCCCCGGGAGAGGAGCCCTGAGCCCCACATGGAGGCGCCTCCTCGGCAGGTGGGCTGTGCGTCCCGTGTCAGGACTGCCAGGAGTCACCCGGTGCATCCCTGAAGCTCCACGGCAGGTAAATCCCAGATGGTTTACGGAGGAGGAGGAGCTGGGGAAAGCAGCTCTTTTGTTTGAGAAGATTCCGGAAGGAGCAGGAGTGGAGTGGGAACACAAAGGTGGTCAGGGATTGGCATTTGTGACGGCCTGCCTGCCGGGGCACGAGAGGGTCCCCGCTGGACCTTGCTCTCCGGGATGGGGGCTGTGGACGCTGGGTGTGCGGGGCCAGCACCAGAGGCCTCCCTGGAAGTGCTGGGGCCGTGGCCGGGTCCCCAGGGCTCCGGCCTGCATCACAGTGAACTCGCTGGGTCTGGCCTCCGGGGTGATCAGGAGACCTTGGACTCCGCTCTTGTTTGGTTTGCGGGGTAGGGGATCGCATCACAGGTCCCAGCGCCTCCTTCCCGCTCAGCCCCAGAGAGACTCTCCCAGGCACCTCCTGCCGCCCTTGGAGCCTGGGGGGGGGGTCCTCGGCGGGTGCGTGCAGCACCTGCCCCACCCTGCAGGATTTCCCCCGGGATCCCGGGACGAGCGGCCCAGCGTGGGCCACGGGGTCCAGGGAGCCGCGGTGGCACCTGCTCCCGAAGCCCTGATGGTGGTGCCCTTGCTTCCAGGGAGCCGCGTCCCCGGAGGAGCAGAGGGTCCTGGAGAGGAAGCTGAAGAAGGAGAGGAAGAAAGAAGCCCGGAGGCGGCTGCAGGAAGCGGGCATCTCCGTGGCCCAGAGCCCAGCAGCCAGGCGCTCGGGGGCCGCGCTGGCCTTGGACTACCTGTGCAGGTGCGCGGCCCCGGAGGGATGCAGGCAGACCGACACGGGCTGGGGGCTCAGGGCCCCCGGGGGGGGCGGGTGGTCGCAGCCTCCGCGGCTGTGTCTGGGGCCAGGGGAGCCGCCTGCTCCCCGCCTGGGCGTCTGGCGCCCGGAAGCGCAGCTTCAGCCATCGGGGTCAGCGGTGACAGGTCAGTAGTTGCGGGCGCTTGGGCAAGGCTACCCCTCAGCCTCCACCTCAAATCAACCAAATGCAGGTGAAGAGTCTCACTCACCTGCCCCTCATAGTGTTGTGACAACCTGACAAAATAATGGCCTGGGAGCCACCATGGAAGACTCACGGGCCATGTGCTGAGGATGGCATCGCACCGCCACTGTCAACCTTGTCACCCCACCTACGTCACCACCCGCACCCACGTCACCACTGTCACCATTCACGTCACCACCACCACCAGTCACGTCACCCCCCCGACATCACCATCCACGTCACCACCCCATCGTCATTGCCGCCATCAGCATTGTTGCTGTCTCCACCATCACTCTCGTCACAGGTCGCACACACCCCACATCTCCCTCCAGGAACCTGTGTTCTTTCGTGGAGTCCTTGAGATCCAGCCAAGGGTTGGGGTTGGTGGCTTGGAGCCGGTTCAAGAACAGAGTTCCTAGGGGCCCTGCAGAGGATTCTGGGAGGGCAGGGGGGCCTGAGGACGTGTGTGAACCCAGCGATAGGCTGGGAGGGGGCGTTTCAGAGCCCTGTCTTCCAAGAAGGAGGAGCTGCCCGGCCGCCCTGGCTCTGTATGAAGCGGAATCTTCCTGATTCCTGGACCGGGCTGAGCACCGATGAGTCAGCTGCACAGGCAGCCCAGGGTCCAGGCCTCCGCCTCCTCCGTGCCCCCGTCCCCCTCCCGCTCCCCCTGCTGTCTCTGAAGCCCATGAGGTTGTGGCAGAGCATTAGACGCTACCCCGCGTCTCTCGCAAGCCTGGGGCCCCGCTGGGCCCGGGCAGGGCTCCCACCTGCTGGATGGACTGGGGCTTGCCATTCCCCCAGCCCCAGCCGGAGCCTGCTCTGGCGCAAAGGGGGCACAGGCCGTAACCGGGACGGGTGCCCTGGGGAGCCTCGGGCCTTGTGCCGGGCCTGCCTGAGCCCCCAGGAGCAGCCCTTCTTCGGCTCTGCTGGAATCTCCGCGCGCACTGTCCCTTCCTCGTGGGGGCCTGCTCCCGTTAAGATCTGCCCGCCTCCCTGTAGGAAACACGCCTTCGATTCAGTGCCTCCCTCCCCGCCCAGGGAAGGCCGGGTGCCTTCCTCGCACTGCAGGGGCCACCATTGGCTGGCCGGTGGGGGCCACGTGGAGCCCAGCGGGAGGGGAGGCCCAGCCTGCACACCGGCGGAGGGAGCTGCCCGGCAGCCTCCCCTGACCCTGGGCCTGACCCTGGGCTGTGTTAAGGGGGTGGGGGGTACGGGGATGGCCAGCAGGCCCCTCGTTGACACCTGGTCCCGTCCCGGCACCTTTCACCTGCAGCTTAGGTGATATTTTCCGTGGTGAGCACGGCCGTACAAGGCAGCCAAGAGAGGCACCTGCAGGCTCCGCTGTCACTCGGGGGACTGCTCTGAAGACGGTGGTCCTGGGGAGGGGACAGCGGACCCACTCAGCAGCTCAGACGGCCCTGCCCAGCGCTCCCCAGGGGACCAGAAGCTGTGGGGTGCTGTGGCTTCAGAGCAGCCGTCACATCTGGGTCCTGCACCGCAGGCAGCGCACGTACCTGCCTCTCACCCCTCAGGGTCGTAAGAACATCCTTCGGCCCTGACCTCACGGTGCTGAGAGCCGCGTCCTCATGGGAGCTGCTCGCGGTGCAGCACCCCCTTGAGAGGGTCGGGCTCGGCCCTCACCCCCGGGGCCCGCGCTCCCTCCCTGCTGACCTCTGACCTCTCACTTCCCCTGCTCACCAAAGTCACGCAGATGCTCCATCTGTGGGTCCCTGCCTTCTGGGGAGGTATTTTTGGGCGGGGCTGGGGGCCCCCGTGGTCACTCGGTCATCATTCACATGGTCCTGGTGTGTCTGGGAGCCTCCTCTGTCCGTTGTGGATTTCCGTGGGGCCGCACCACCCCCAGGCCTCCAGCCGGGTGCCCTTTGCTCCCCGTGGGCCCGGACAGCCCATCTGAAGCCAGTCCGATGCTCCAGACACCCGAGCCGCTTCTGGGGCCCGGCGGACCACAGGGTTGAGGTGACCCTGGTCAGAGCCCTGGGGTCAGGGAGGAGGGAGTGCTTCGGGCCGATGCCCAGCTCGTCTGCGTCACCAATGCAGCAGTGAGGGAGCCAGGCCTGAGGTGGTCCTTCCCTCCCAAACCCTCTGGCAGCTCAGGAGGGACCTTGAGACCCTGGGAAGAGCGAGGTCTTCCAGGGCAGATGAGTTGGCCAGGGCGCGATGCAGGTGGAACGACACAGTAGCTGAACTGGGGCCAGTGCGGGGGCATTCTTTATTATAAAGACTGCTTAACTGGAGCGAGAGCGAGAGCCCTGTGGAGACTGCAGAGGAGCAGATGTGAGGGGCCGGGCCGAGCCCAGGGAGCGTAGGGGCTCACGGGCAGCAGGGAGGTCACGGGAGCTGCGCCAGCACACTTGCGGGAAAGCGGTGCACTGCAGAACCACAGGGGGCCCCGTGGACGTGGACACCAGAGAGGGCTGCTTGCCCACGCTCGGAAGGAAGCTCCCTCCTCCCCACCCCGTGTGTCCAGCATCTTCTGTGTAACTTCGTTCCGTCTGGGAAGGAAGCATCTTGAAGGGCCCATCTCCACTTTCGCAGGCAGAGGATGAGCGGTGGGTTTGGAGCCGAGAGACAGTTACGTCATTACTGGCAGCAGGGAGCGGTCCCACTGGTGGCGGCGGCCCACACAGAGCATGCCCTCCCAGTCGGGCCAGCAGAGGAGCCTGAGGAGATGGCCAGGGGCCGCTGACTCCCCAGCCTGGTGGCCCTTTCTCTCTCCCTTTCTTCCTCCCCTCCCTCGAGTCGCCCACCTCCCTCCCTTCCCCCTCCTCTTGGTGGGGCGCCCCTGCGGGTGCAGAAGACTGAGCTGGGCCCTGTCGTGGGCACACACGTTGCCCTGGCCTCGCCACTAAGCGCTGGAGGCGGGACTCCAGGCACAGGCAGGGTGTTGGTCCCCCAGGAGCTGTGGCCAGGTCCGGCTCGTCGGTGGCTGCCACGCGAAGTGCCCATGGTCCCCGGGCAGATGTGGGACGCGGCCTGGGTGGTCGTGCCATCACGTGACATGGCATGTGGGAAACTGCACAGGCGTGAAGCGTGTGCTTCTGCCTCAGCCCCGCCAGCCACGGGGCTGCTTGTCCTGAGAGAGTGAACCGGCTGGGCGATTAGGGAGGCCGACCCTCCTGCCGTCCTGCAGCCCCAGAGCCCGCACTCTGCCCACTCCACGCCGCCAGCGCCCGGGTCCCAGACACAGACCTCTGTCCGTCTCGGGGCCTCCGCCCCAGCGTTCGGGTCTCCCCTGGGCACTAGCTCCCAACGTGGCCTGCTTCCTCCACCTCGGGCCCCTTCAGCCTGGGCTTCACGGGACCAGCCGCGCTTTGCCGCAGCGTCCTCATCATCTGGGGGCCCGGTGCGTCTGAGGCCCTTGGGTGGTGACGTGCAGGCTGGGCCAATGGGACCCCTGCGTGGCCCTTGGGGTCAGGGCTCCTGGCTCCTCCCTGATGCCCAGCTCATGGCGTGAAGGCCACGCCTGCTCCAGTCGGCGGTCCTGCCGTCCTGCACGATAAACGTTTCTGGGAGAAGGACTGAGTTTGTGAAATTCAGAGTGTTCACGTTAGGGTCGTGGAATGATGGCCGTGCAGGGCTGAAAGAAAGTGTCCTTGTGCCCCCTGGTCCTGCCGTCCTGGCCGAGGGCCCCCGGCAGGCGTGCGGGGGCGACGGTCCTCCTGGTGCAGAACCCTGAGAGCCCCCTCCCGCCCTCGCGCTGGGAGGGTCCTCTGCAGATGTCCCGCCACCCCAGCCAAGGAAAGGCCACCCAGGCCAGTGGGTGCAGGCCTTCCGGCTCCTCCTGTGCAGTACCTGAGACGTCGTGTCCTTGCCTCCCCAGCTGGGCCCAGCAGCACGAGAACTGGAGGTTTCAGAAGACGAGGCAGACCTGGCTGCTGCTGCATATGTACGACCGTGACCAGGTGGGTGCACACTTGGTGCGGGGGGGGTGCCCTGTGGGAGCACCCGTCCAGCCCTTCGTTTTACAGAGATGAAACCCGGGCTCAGGGAGGGACCCGCTCAGTGTCAGGGAGCCAGAACCCCTGCCAGGTTTGCCCAGCGGCCGGACTCATCGTGGAGCTCCAGGCTCCCAGCTGCAGGAGGCGGCTGCGGTTCCAGGAGGGCCACCGTCAGCGTGCTTGGAAGTTCCACCCTCCCCTGTGGATCCTCGTGGGGTGTGGCTATCAGGCTGAGGCTGGGAGCTGCCGTCACCCCCAGACACTCCAGTGTGCGCCTGCTACACGTCAGGGCGTCCTACGGGACAACATCCCAGCCTGAGTCAGGGCTCCACGTCACGTCACTACTACACGTTCTTGGTGGCATCCTTGGGCGGGGGCCTGTCGAGAACCGCGCTCACCCGGTGTCTGGCACGTCCCTCATCTTACCCTCGTGACCCTGACGTGCTTGCAAGGGCAGTCGTGTGGCAGGGCGTGGCCGGCGTGGTTGGTTAGGTCCCCACCCGGACTCGGGGAAATAAACGCATGTGTTCGTCCTCCTCGTAGCTGGTCCGTGGTGGCTTGGTGTCGATGTTGATCACGTGACGCAGGTGGTGGCTGTCGGGTTCGTTCCTACAGAGTTACTGATTCTTTCAGTAACAGGCACGTGTCTTTGGGGGCTGCCCGTCTCTCGTCACTCTCACTAGCCCGCTGTGGCCCTGTCTGGGGCTCTTCTGTTCCCTTCATCCCGTCTCCGATAAGGAGGAGCTTCGCCACCCCCGCTCCAGTGGACTGTGGCTTCCCGCTTCAGCGTGGACTGTGCTGTTTTATTCAGTGGCTTGTAATCCGTTTATCTGGGGCCGCTGTCACCATCTGTGACGATTGTGTAGCTTTCATTATGACGGTTAAGTGGCTCCCCGGCGGGGAAGTTGAGGGCGGACTCGGCCCTGTGTGCACTTGATGGGGGGTGGGGGACCCTCCGTGGAGGAGGCACCTGTGAGCTGAGTTCTGAAGTCAGGCTGTGGCTGTTGGGCGGGTGGGGGACAGCGGGGTGCAAAGCCTGGGCCGGGCCAAGCCAGCGATGCTGCAGGAATCGGAGCCCCAGGCTGGGGGATGCTGCCTGGGCCTCCTTCCCCAGGACCACCCCCCACTCCTGCACAGCCCCACGCCCACTCCCCACTGGGCCAGCTCAGGGCACCTGCCCCTCCTCCCTGTGGCCCTCAGGTTTTGAAGTCAGTGTGAGTCACTTGCTGCTTTCGAAGTGGACTTGCAGCCGCCCCTGTTTTAGCCCCATCCTTGAACTCGCTTCCAGCAGCACCCACACAGCCAGTGTGGAGTCCCGGGCTTGGGGGCGGGGGTGGTCTGCAGCGCGATTGGCGTTTCTCAGCCTGAGCTTCACCTTCGTCAGATCTGCTGAGTCACCGTCATTCATCTCCAGCCCCAGAACGTTGTCACTCTTATCTTTCCTCTGCTCTCTCTGTTCTAAGAGATTTATCTGTTATTTTTTATTATTTTTTAAATAAATTTATTTATATTTTTTTATTTTTGGCTGCATTGGGTCTTTGTTGCTGCACACGGGCTTTCTCTAGTTGTGGCAAGCGGGGGCTACCGTTCGTTGCGGTGCGAGGGCTTCTCATTGCGGTGGCTTCTCTTGTTGTGGAGCACAGGCTCTAGGCACGTGGGCTTCAGTGGTTGTGGCACACGGGCTCAGTAGTTGTGGCTCACGGGCTCAGGAGTTGTGGCCCACGGGCTCTAGAGCGCAGGCTCAGTAGTTGTGGTGCATGGGCTTAGTTGCTCCACGGCATGTGGGATCTTCCCGGACCAGGGCTTGAACCCATGTCCCCTGCATTGGCAGGTGGATTCTTAACCACTGCGCCACCAGGGAAGCCCCATTTATCTCTTTAAAAATGTATCTGCTTACTGTTGATTTAGTGGCATTTCAGGAGGGCGTGAAAACTGACGTCTGCCAGCCTCTGGAACGCAAGCCGGAGTCTGTGGGGAGAAGAGCGGGGGCCAGCAGAGGACAGCGGGCTGGCCGCCCTTTCCACCTCCCCCAGCCCGTTGTCCTGGAGCAACTCCTCGGGGCCCGGCCTGAGGGTGCTGAGGGCTGGACGGTCCCCTCGCAGGCCCGGGGCCCGCAGTGTGGACATCCTGCATCTCCACGCGCCACCCGCCCAGCCCTGACGAGTGTTCTCTGCCCCGTCCAGGTCCCCGACGAGCACTTCTCCACCTTGCTGGCCTACCTGGAGGGGCTCAGGGGCCAGGCCCGCGAGCTGACGGTGCGGAAGGCAGAGGTGCTGATGCGGGAGCTGGACGAAGCGGGTGCAAGCGCCGACGCCCCACTGCCGGGGAGGACCCAGCGCGTCCGGCAGGTGCTGCAGCTGCTCTCCTAGCGGGCGGCGCGGGGGTGCGGGGGTGGGGTCCCTGGCCCTCCTGGCCCCTGACCCTTGCAGGGACCACTGCTCTCTCCTGATTCCTTGGCCAGAAATTGTTTATAGGGGATGACAGTTTTAACCCCTTCACAGCAGCACGCAGTCACTCTGAAATAGGCTGCCCTCCCAGTGGCCCTCAGGCCCCCAAGGAAGTTGCTTATTAAGGGAAATGCCCGTTTTTGTCCCAGGGATGTCTTAGAGATCACCAGAGCTGGCCCTCCCCGCCCGCTGTGGTCCATCCGTGTGGGGGCTTGGGCCCCCCCATGGGTCTGGCGGCCCCTCGGTGCCGGCCGCCTGGCCACCTGCCTGCGTTCACCTAGGGGCCTGCGCTGTGGCTCATCCATGTCGCCTCCCTCCTCAGGCAGCCACGGCTCCGCTGGCCACTTACAGGGAAAACCTGGGTGTATTTTCAATAAAAACCGGCCTCTGGAGGCTGTGGCTCTTGTCGCGTGACTCGTTCCCTGCCTGTGGGACGTGGGCTCCGTGGCCTCCCGGGACGGCGTCCCGGCGAGCCCCTCGTGTAGTCTTCTGGCTGCAGGCTGACCCCTGCTCTTCAGGCCATGTTTCCAGGTGTCGGCAGGGGACACGCGCTGCCCTCCCGCACCTGCCCAGCCGGGAAGCACCTGCTCTGTCCCCCATCCCCGGAGGAGCGCGTGCGGCCAGGCCGTCTCCACAGACAGTCAGACGTGGTGGCGGGTGACTGTGCAGTTTTGAAACTCTCCACCGAGTCTGTGATGCTCTGCCCCTCGGGCGTGGTCAGCTTCCAGCCTGGGAGACACATGGGCACCACGTGGCTTCGAGGCTCCCGTGATGGGGTGGGGGGAGCCGCCCCAGGTGACCCCGAGTGAAGCAGAGGGGCCCGAGCCCGGAGTCCTGCTCCGGGTGCAGGTTTGTGAGCCACGTGACCAGGGGGCAGTAGGAAAGCAGAGTCCGAGAGATTGCGTCACGTGGGCAGCTCTGTCGTGAATTCCATGCTGACAGCCCGTGAGTAACAGGGGCCCTTTATTCCAGAATGAGGTCCCGGGCCTTCCCGCGGCCACTCCTGGCTTGGCTGGGCCCCGACCGTGGCCCTCGGGGATCTCGCCTCAGAGCAGCATCCCCAGTTCAGTTCAGTTCAATTCAGTGTCTGAATGGCGGAGGTGGGGGTGGTGGCCCGAGGGGGGGTGACCCGAGCCCAGGAGGGCCACACGTCTCAAGGGCCTGGGCAGGTCCCTCGCTGACCACTTGGGGCCTTTCCCTCTTCTCACCTGTGACCCCGGACTCGGGGTCACGCCACCCCACGTGGCGAGTCTCGTCCACGCCGATGTCTCATCTGCTCCCCCCCATGAGGGGCTGCTGTGCTGCTCCCTGAGGGGCCTCTGGCCTGCCCCCGCCCGCTGGGCACACACGCACACACGTCCAGTTCTGGGTGGGAGCCACTGGCCAGGCACCTCCTTTGGCCTTGCAAACCTTGGAGACGGAGTGAGGAGGCCCAGCCCTCCTGGAGGCCCTCAGGTGAGGTGAGGTCCCCGACGGGAAAGCACCCTGTGACGATGAGCCATCGCGGTTCTGCAGGTAATCTGTGGATGATGCCGCCGCCCGGGTGCCAGCCTCACTGTCCCTAAGCTTTGAGGCATTTTAAAAACACGAGAAATAGACGTACAATAAAGGAAGGTCCACAGGACACAGGGAAGGGGCAGGTTCTCTTTAAGGAATCCGGGCTGAGACATAGACATACAGTGAAGGAAGGTCCACAGGACACAGGGAAGGGGCAGGTTCTCTTTAAGGAATCCGGGCTGAGACATAGACGTACAGTAAAGGAAGGTCCACAGGACACAGGGAAGGGGCAGGTTCTCCTTAAGGGATCCGGGTTGACTGATCAAGAACATAGCTCTGGGTTTCCTGGCAGCCAAATCGAAGAGGGAAACGTGGTGGTACCGGGTCCTCATCTGCTGTTAATGGGAAACGGCCCAGGAGAGCCAGGCGCTCCCCTTGGGCACAGAGGCTCTTGGACACCGACTTAGGCGGCTCCCGTAGGGTGTGCAGTGCCGTCCTCTGCGGCGTCCCCCCGGCAGAAGGCGCAGGGGAGGTGATGCATCGCTTGGTGTGGGACCAAGCTCAGGGTGCAGGCGGTTCCTGGGGTCCCTGTGTGGTCATAGGTGGCACTCTGATGGCCCCAGGGGTCAATTGATGTGGAGGGACTGAGCCTGGTGGCCGCACAAGGGTAGTAGGCTCGCCAGCCGCCTTGTCCGTCCGTGGGCTGAGGAGCATCTCCCTGAGGGGGCAGGTGGAGCTCCCCCACCTGTTGTGGGGGGCGTCCCGGGCGTCCGTCAGGTCAGCGGCCACGGCACCCCAAGGGATCAGGATGGAGCTGGCGGGGCTTTTTCTGAGGTGCGGCCAGGCTCACTGGCCTGTCAAAGCCTCAGCCCCCCGCACCCTGGCCCTCCGAGGAAGCCACCGCCACGGAGCCAGTAATTGTAAGGTTATGGCTGAGAAGCAGGTGTTTCCTGTTGGCTTCGCCTGTGGGATGTGGGGACTCAGCTGCTTCTGCACCCCCAGGAGGTTCGCGTCCACTTTGGGTAAACTGGTGTTGAGTGTGTCCCGTCGGTCCTGTAAGGATACAGTGACCAGCCAGAGTGTCCCTGCACGGCGGGAAGGAAGCTGGAACGGAGGGGCCTCGGGAAGTTAGACGCCCGAGCCGGGACCCCTGCCCCCAGTGTGCTCTCCCCCACCACGGGTTTGCCCTGCGAGGTGGGTGGCGGCCACGCAACACTGTTGGGTTCTGGACTCACAGAAGAACGTCTCCAGTCAAAGCCCCCGCAGGCCCGGGAGCTGAGACCGCAGCCTGTATGTCTGTTCTGGAGGGTTCGCTTGTGCTTTAGGGCTGATGCGGTGTGGCAGGGGCCAGCCCTGGAACCAAAGGCAGATCTGGACAAGAGCCACCCGCCGGCCCCCAGAGGTTCCCCCTCAAGAGGCTGGGGCACTGCAGCCTTGGGAACAGACTGTCCAGGGACTGACCAACCCACGTGAGCCCAGTCCTCACGTCCAGCCCACCTGCCCCCTCCTGACCCACGATGCCCGGGGGCCCTTGATGGACGTCTGCCCGCGGACGCTTCTCCCAAAAGCCGCACAGCCAGCGAGAAACAGGATCTAAAGCTTGGCGTGTCCGACGAAGGGTGAGCAGTTAAGAGGTGCTTCATCCGTAAGATGGGCCGTGGCTGAGCCTTTAGAAGGGAGGGAACGGGCGCATCGCGATGGGCCTTGAGGACATGGTGCTCAGTGAAGTAAACCCTTACAGAAGGACAAACACTGTGTGATTCCACTCTGCGGGTCCCTGGAGAGACAGAAAGTAGGCGGTGGGGCCCAGGGCTGGGGGAGGGGGAGGGGAGCTGGTGTTTAATGGGACAGAGTCTCAGTTTGGAAAGACGAGAATGTTCTGTGTGTGGATGGTGGTGACGGTTGCTCAACAGCGTGAACGAGCGAGATGTTCCCGAACTGGACACTGAGAAGCGGGCAGGACAGTAAATTGTATGTTCTCTCTGTTTTACCGCAGTAAGAAAAATACTTCAAAAAATGAAACAGGGCTTCCCTGGTGGCGCAGTGATTGAGAGTCCGCCTGCCGATGCAGGGGACGCGGGTTCGTGCCCCGGTCCGGGAAGATCCCACATGCCGCGGAGCGGCTGGGCCCGTGAGCCATGGCCGCTGAGCCTGCGCGTCCGGAGCCTGTGCTCTGCAACGGGAGAGGCCACAACAGTGAGAGGCCCGCGTACCGCAAAAAAAAAAGAAAGAAACAAAACCAACAAAACCAACTAGAATGTGAGATGACTGACCCGTCAGCTCCCACCCAGGGGTCGATCTGCACCCTGGGTAGGGGGGAGGGCTTCTGCCTTTCGGCAGGGGTCGGGGGCAGCCCCAGGGGCCAGGCAGATGTCCACTGTCCCCAGTTCCTAGTCCCACATCTCTCGCTGAGGAGCTGAAGAAGCTTTCAGACTGTCTGAGTCCGGCAGGTGGGTCCAGGGGTTGGTTTCGTGGGTCAGACGACAGACGTCAAACTTGGCAAAACGTGCTGCGTCCGTGTCGACATAAAGCAGGGGGAAGGGATCGGTTTCCCCAGAGGCCAGGTGCTCTCGGCTCTCCTGGGCCCCAGCCAGCTGGTCCGGCTCTGGCCATTTCAAGGCAGGGGCAAGGGGAGCCTGAGAACGGAGGCCTGGGTCCCCTGCCGAGAGAGAGTGGGGCCCAAGCCCTGGACTGGGGGGGACGAGGGTCTCGCTCACACCAGCCCTCTGCTCAGTGCCCCACAGATGTGCATCTGGACTGGGGTGACCGCCCCCTGGGGTGGGAGGCGGAGATGCTCTGGGGCAGGTGACGAGCAGCCCACCGCCTGAGGGCGCCAAGCGGCAGTGATCTGCATGCCTGGGCGCCGAGCCCCCGCCTGACGTCCCAGGCGCGTCCCCCAGTGAAGCCCCATCCCCGCCAGAGCCTCGGCCCAGAAACAGGGTTCCCCAACTCCCAACGCCATGCACGGCACCCCTGTTCGCAGCTGTGTCTCTGCCCGCCGGCGCCCTGCCCCCTCAGCTGCGTTCGAGCCGCCGAGGCCACCTGTGGGGCCGGGCTGCCCCAAGCAGCAGCGCGTTTGTATTTTTATTTATTTATTTTTTAAAAGTTTATTTTATTTATTTTTGGCTGTGTTGGGTCTCCGTTGCTGCGCGCAGGCTTTCTCTAGTTGCGGCGAGCGGGGGCTACTCTTCGTTGCGGTGCGCGGGCTTCTCATTGGGTGGCTTCTCTTGTTGGGGAGCACGGGCTCTAGAGCGCAGGCTCAGTAGCTGTGGCGCATGGACCTAGTTGCTCTCTGGCGTGTGGGATCTTCCCAGACCAGGGCTCGAACCCGTGTGCCCTGCCTTGGCAGGCGGATTCTCAACCACTGCGCCAGCAGGGAAGTCTGAGCAGCACATTTTTAAATCCTTTTCTGCCGAGATCTACCCCTTCCAACCCAGCAGGACGGCTTTTCAAATTTGTTTTTGGCAAATTAAAATAACTGCCGTAAACCGTCAACCAACCAACCAGGTTCTTTTGAGAAAACTTAACATCACCTTTGAAAGTGGTTCGTCTTGTCACCTATTCTTGTAAGTTAGAAAATAAGCGCCTTAGCTTCTGGGTCCTGCACCTGGGCCCAGTGGGATGTCCCGGGAGGTGCCGCGGCCACGGTTCCTGCTCTGGGTCCACGGCAGAGAGCAGGGGTCTTGCGATGGCGATGCTAGCATTTTCCCTCCTTACAGCCGTACCCACCTCATCCCACCAGGGCCCGCTGCCAGAAAGCTGAGTCTCTTCCCACAGCAGCTTTGGGCCAGTTCTGTGGCCTCCGGAACATTCTGCCCCCACCCTGCAGAATGAAGCTTGGTACCTCGGCTGTGCCCTGGGCGAGGCGGGCTCCCTGCGCCCCGCGTTCAACGCCAGGTGTTCCAAACCGACAAGAGAAGGACAGTGAACCCTCGCTGCGCTGCCCCCAGTCCCCTCCAGGGATGTGGGGACCACCCTCCCCTTCCTGGGCCCACTATGACGTATCGTGGCCACAGCCCTGCCCTTCATTATTAGGAAGCTTCCCCTCCCCACACCCCACCCCCTGCCCCAAGATCTGCGTGCTGACTGGTGCGTCCTGGGTCGTTCCATGTGAAGCCCCTGGAGGGTCACAGGGTGGCTGGCACTGAAAGCCCTGGGCCTCGCTCTCCCAGCCCACCCTGCTCACCAGTTCACGTCCCAAGGGTAGCCTCCCCACGTGGTCACTGCGACTTAGCGCGGTCCCAGGCTTTTCAATTTGCACTCATCTGACACTCCCCAGTGTCGGCTCTCCTCCAGGAAGGCCCTCTGGTGCCCAGCTGGGAACAGAGGCTTTTCCTGTGCGCCCCCAGCCCTGTGCCTCCCTCTGGTCCAGGCGGCAAGCTCTGAGCTCCAGGAGGGTGGAAGCCACGGCTTGTTTGCCCCCATCCAGCTCACGGACAAGGTGTTGGGAAAGCATCGGTGTGATCTCAGCACCTTGTGCAGAATCCGCCAGCATCGCTAGCCTCCTGCCACGTCCCGGGCCCGGCCCTCCACCCACCGCCAGCTGGCCCCTCTGTGCTCTTCCTCGGAGAGGTGACCTCCACGCAGACACAAGGAGCCGGTTCATGGGGAGGGTCTGGGGGCAGATGTGGAAGAGGAGTGGGGGGTCAGAGTGGACCAGAGAAGAGGCTTGTGCAGGCGGCTTCCCTGCAAACTCCTACTCATCCTTCCCACCTGAGCCCCGCCGTCGCCCTCTGGGTGGCTGCTGCCCCTCAACTAGCTTGTCTTCTGCTAAGGGCGTCTCTGTGGTGGCCCCAGGGCTCAGGGGCCTGGCTCCAGGGGCAGAGTGCTGCCTGAGCACGGTGCCCAGGACCCCTGAGAACGGGGTGGGGTCTGCAGGAAACCTGCTGGACCCAGGGCAGGGCCGGGCACGGCACAGAGCAAGCGGGAACTCTGGTCTGAGGCTGGCCTCTGGGTGGACGTCATCCCGGGGCCCAGCAGCCCCTGCCATCTGCCTGCATCCCCAGCTGCAGGTGGGTGGCACCTCTGTGCCTGGCAGGTGTTGTCTGGCGACGCTGGCCCTGCTGGGGAACCAGATGGGGACAGTGTGGAGGGGGATGCAGGAGGGAGCAGCGGGGAGCTGCGGGGAGGCCTGTGAGGATCTGCTGCACCCGTGGGGGGGCGCCCTGGAGGGTCTGCAGGGGGCCCAGGTGCAGACAGGCAGCAACGATGCCCTAGGGTGTAGGGATGGAGGGAGGAGGGAACCCAGCTCTGCCCTGTGGTGTAGGGCCTGGGAGAGGCAGAACGGGGTCAGGTCTGGGTGGGGCTCTCAGGCCGGGGTTGGGATACGCAGCCTGTGGTGGCCACGGCAGAGAGCCCAGTGGGGGGAGCCATCCGTCCTTCCGTCCTGTCTCCATCACCTGCCGAGCACCCCAAGCTGGGAGTGACTCAGACCCTCCCCGGCCCTGGGACTTTGTCCCATAGTCAGGCCAGGCCTCTCGTGGTCAGCGCCCCTGCAGCCTGGGCACCGCACACAGGGCCTGGGCCTGCGGCCGCGTGGTGAAGGCCAGGGCGGGCATGGTGCCCAGGGTGGCGGTGCTGAGGCCGGGTGGGGGCAGCAGGCGGTACCTCTGCAGGAGGCCTGAGAACAGCAGGAACAGCTGCGACCTGGCTAGGCTCTCCCCGACGCAGATGCGGCAGCCTGCGGGGGACGCAGGGTGCGGGGTGGGTGCCGGAGGCCGTGGCGGGGCGGGGGGAGCCCTGCGGGCTTGGGACCCTGAGCTCTCGAGGCCCCGGGGACCAGGCCGCCGCCCGCGGGGCTGTGGTACCTGCAGAAAAAGGCAGGAAAGCCGCCCGCTTCACGAAGCGCCCGTCGGCGTCCAGAAGTGGCCCGGGTTGAACTGGCGGGGGGGTCTCCCACTGCGTCTTGTCCAGGAGCACGGAGCTCAGGAGGGGCACCACAGGCGTTCCCTGTGAGGGGCGGCAGGTGGGCAGATGGACGCCCCGTCCACCCAGGCGGCCCCAGGCGGGGAGCACAGGGAGGGGGCCCTGAGGGGGGTGGGAAGGCGGGGCGGGGCCTGGCAGGGGTCTGCTGGGGGTTCGTGCTTAGCCCCAGGGGACCCCTGTGGTGTGGCCCCGGGTCTGCTGTGAGGGGCTGTGCGGCCGAGGGCTGCCCCACGATGAACCACCCGTCTCCTGCCTCCTATGGGGAGCCCTGGCATCAGGCACCTGAGTCCCTGAGACCCCCAGCCCCATCTGCCGTGAACGAGAGGAACAGGTCCGGGGTGGGGGGCCTGGCCCTCCCACCTTGGGGAGCAGGTAGCCGCCCAGCTGGGTGTCGGAGGCTGTGCACCGCGGCACGTGGGGCAGGAGGGTGATGAAGCACTGGACCTCATGCAGCACGGCGTTGGTGTAGGGCAGGGAGCGCTGGTCCTCCAGCCAGGGGGGCCGCCCGGGCCCCAGCACTCGGTCCGGATCCTCCTGCACCCGGCCTGTGGGCAAGAGGGTGGGCGCGAGCGTCCCGGGGAGCCTCTGCCCTTCGGTCCTGGGCCCTGCGGGAACGGGCTCACGGGCTCACCCTGCACGCCGGGTGCTTGCCCATCAGGAGGGCGGCCCACTGCAGCGTGGCGGAGGTGGTCTCCGTGCCAGCCATGACCATGTCCAGGGCACGGGCCACCACGTTGGCCTCAGCAAACAGGCCCTCGGGGTCTTTCCCCTGCAGAGGTGGGTGGGGCTGGGCTCAGCTGGAGGCTGGCTCCATGGACCCCCCGCCCCCAGCCCCAGGCTCAAAAAAGGCATAGAAGACAGAGGCCTGGCGGGAAGGATAGCGCCAGGATCCACCGAGCACCTACGGCATTCTGGGTTCCCCGCGGCCTTACGACCGCCCCATTTCACAGATGGGAAGACTGAGGCTTAGAGAGGCTCCGCACCAGGAGGTGGAGCAGTATGGCGTGGGGCCAGCATGGCTGCCTCCCCAGCCCCTCTCCTCCTGGGTGGGGCCCCAGCAGGCCCCCCACCAGGAGGTGGAGCAGTATGGCGTGGGGCCAGCATGGCTGCCTCCCCAGCCCCTCTCCTCCTGGGTGGGGCCCCGGCAGGCCCCCCAGGTCTCCTAGGTGGTGGGGTGGGTTTTGCCCACACCTGGCCCTGCTGGATCAGGGCGTCCAGGTAGCTCCGCACAGGCCCTCGCCCAGGCGCGGGGGGCCGCCGTGCCTCCAGGAGGTTCCTCAGGATGGCCCGCACCGCCTCCACCTTCCGCAGGACGGGCCGGTGCAGCTGGAGGAGGGCCCCGAGCCAAGGGTAGATGTTGAACAGCTGGGGGCAGGGGGCAAGACGGCGTGGTTGGGGGGTGAGGGCACAGGCGCCACAGCCCCACCTGGTGAGGGGCGGATCCGTACTCCAGCAGCTGTGCTCACCTGTCCGGGGTCCCCTGGCGCAGCCCCAGACCCCAGGTAGAGGTGCCACAAGGGGGCACCTGCTCCCTGCTCACGGGGCCCCTCGCTCACCCTCCCAGTGGGACCAGCAGCCGCAGGGGCTCTGATGAAGTCGTCTACCTGAGTGCAGGAAGGAGGGGCCGCTTGACAGGTAACGCCACTGGGGGTCCGTGCAAGTCACAGCAGGAGCCTGCCATCATGGCCCCCCGTTCCCCCACCCACCAAAGCGGGGAAGACGGAGAAGGGCGAGGGCTGCCGCTGTGGAAGTAACTTTGAATGTGCTGGGTCATTAGAAAAACGGGGACTTGCAAACTTCAGAGTTTCAGCTCACGACGTCGTGAAACGGGGCTCACGGCACAGCCTGTCTGACACGGTTGTCAGCCGCCCTCTGACTACACTCGCACCACCGTGTCCCCCAGAATGCGAGCCATCACACGGGGCACAGGCACGGGAGGCCACGGAACATTCTGTCTCCCTGGAGCCCCCGACCCTCTGGCCTCCATCCTCCTGGGGCTCCCTGGCGGGACTCGGCCAGGCTACTCTCGGGCGGAGGCCACATCTTCATGCCCGTCCGAGCCTCCTCCAGCTGCAAGGGATGACTTAGAATCAGGACCCAAGCCATGAGTGCCCGCCCCACGCTCACGGGCTCGGGTCCTGGAGAGACGGGGCTGAAAAGTACACGTGAGCCACGTGCCAGCATACGTGCGTACCCTGCCTCAACGTGCGTGCCTGAGCACGTTATGGTTAAAACTGGTAACGGGGGCTACAGATGACAACAGTTACCTTCTGGAAAATGAAATGGCGTAGCCCTGGGGGTTCTGAGAGCCAGGATGGATCCCTGTGATTCCTGAGGCTGAGGGAGGACCCCCGGTTCAAGGGCTGGGGGCCTGGGGGACATCGAGCCCCATATCCGGGGAAGAAATGCCCGGGTCCCACCCGCACCTCTCAGCAGATGCCTCTATTGCTGATGGAAGGTGTGGAGGAGGCGGCGAGGACCCCTGCCCCTCGTTTCCCAGGAGCACGGGGGACTGGCCTGGGGTCGTGTGGCCGGTGGAAGCACGCCTGGGGCCTGCTGTGCTGCTTCCCGAGGCGGCAGCTCGGCTCTCCCTGCCCCCACCCAGCAAGCGGGGAGCAGCGACCTCTCACCTGCAGGCCGGGCGTCCCCAAGAGGATCATGACCTCGTCGATGAGGCCCAGCAGGGACACGAACACGGGATCCCGGTAGTCGAACCGCTGGCCAAAGAGGAGCATGAAGGTGATGTTGGAGGGAGCCCAGCCGAGCAGGGCCAGTGGGAAGGGCCGGCCTGGGGGCGGAGAGAGGCCTCAGAGCTGAGGGGCCCCTGGGAAGGGGGCGCGCTGGCCCCCACTCACCTCCGTAGCTGTCTAGCTGCGCCGTGAGGCACCTCAGCTCCTGCAGGACCTTGTCGGCCATGGGCGCCCTCCCCACGCCCAGGCCGCGGAGGGTGCGCACGGTGAGCTGGCGGGCGGCCCTCCAGCACTACCCGGAGGAGAAGAAGACGCCTGCGGGCCGGACACCCCCGTGAGCGGCCCGGGTGATGCAGGAGGGAGCAACGGGGGGCTGACAGACGGGGTGGGGGCCTGGCTGGGGCCTCACTCCCTCCCCCAAGTCTGGCCCCTGGAGCTGGCCTCGGCTGGCCCAGCCCTTTCTGGTGTTCCCTGGTCCCCGGGGGGCCCAGCTTGCCGCGTGGACACCCTGGCGCTCCCCCTGGGCCACACTGGGATCGCTCCCTCAGCTGCCGCAGGTAGGGGGACCGACCCTTCTCCTTGGCCCCTCTCTGCCTGGCGGAAGCCCCCTCACCCCGCCACACACCTACCGCCACCTCCCTGGATGAGCTGGAAGATGGCGATGGGGGGCCGGCCGGCCAGCTCCTGTCCGGTGCCCACCAGGGCCTCCCTCACACCTCGTAGCCGGTCAGCACCGTCGTCTTCTGGCGCCCCAGATGGACAGCGAACACCGGCCCATACTGTTCCGCGAGCTGTGGGGACAGGCAGGGATCAGCCTGCGGCCCCACCCCCAGCTCCCCTGGGAGCCCCTCAGGCCCCGCCCACCATATGTGGAGGACTCAGGGAGGCCCCTGGGCCTCTGTGTGGGCCCCTCCCTTCTGTCCTCCCGGCACCCCTGCCTGGGACGGGAGGGCTGTTGTCTCCCCACTTTACAGATGGGGAAACAGGCCTGGGGGTGGGAAGTGAGTTGCCGTGGATCACACGGAGGCAGCAGGGCCCGCCACTCCTGGCCACTGCCCACTCTGCCACCGCCGTGCAGACAGTGGCCTCCAGGGCCCGGCACTGGGCACAGGGCCTGAGAACCCTGGTGCCTGCAGGCTGACTTCACGGGTCATCGCGGCTCCCCACCCGCCTGCAGGGCCTGGGGGCCACGAGGCAGCCTCGTGGTTGGGTCCTGGAGGCACCCCAGCCAAGTGATCATGGGAGCTGGAGCTCAGTGGAGGGGGCAGTGGGCTGGGTGATCCCCGAGGGCGGGGCCAGGCCTGTGCCTCTGCTTCAGCAGGTCAGCCAGCTCGAGGTGGGCGAGGGTGTTCAGCCTCCAGCCCCAGTGGGAGGAGCCACACCCAGCAGGCGTCCCATGAGGCCCCCCCAAACCTGGTCCTCCTGCAGGCACTCATCAGAAGCTGCCTTCTCCAGTGAGCCCTCCGGGCCTGCCACTTCTGGCCCCCTGCTCCTTGGTCCGCCCATCCGTTTCCCTGTGGGGTGGAATGTCTTTCTCTTCCCCGAGGCGACGCGGGCACTTGGGCCTCCTGTGTCCCCTGGGCACGGACCTCCCACCCCACGGGGGTCCTGGAAATTGGGGCTGGGGTGCCTTCAGGGCGGGCAGGGGCCCAGGCGCAGAGCCCAGCCGAGCACGTGCCTGCCCTGACCCACCTCCATCAGCGACTGGTCCTGCTGTGCCACACACAGCAAATGTAGGCCTGACGAGGGGCAGCGGGCACGGCCCCGGGGGCCAGCGGGGGGCCGGGGAGGGGGTGTGAGTGCAGGTGCGGAGGAGCCCCCAGAGCCCCAGGAGCAGCAGGGCCTTGAGGACGGCGGTGGCGAGGCCCCAGCTCCCCTCCCGGCCGCCCTGTGCCTTATATGCGTCCGGGGAGCCCCACCCACCCTGGGAGCCCCACCCACCCCACCACCCCAAGAATGTGGAATGAGCAGTTTGCAGGGGACAGCCAGGCGGCTTAAAGCCACAGGCGTGCGTGGTATGTTAGGTCGAGTCTGTGGCGGGGGCTGGTGGGGCCGGGGCCGTCTGGGGGCTCTGCCTTGCTGGGGAGCGCACAGCATGGCGGCCAGTCTGCTCCCCACAGGTCTCGGCCCCTGCCCGGTCTCCCCGTCAGAACCAGGGCTCAGGGGCCTTGGGCCCCGTCCTCCCCAGGCTCTGAGCCTCCCCCTGAAGGGCTCCTTGGTCTCTTCCAAACCCACCACCACCTGTGTTCGCCCAGCTCCTCTCTGCCTGGAGCCGGGGGGGACACCAGGAGTGGAGGGGCCTCCGAGGTCTGCGCAGCAAACGCCTCGAATCCTGGGACTTCAGAGGCCCCGGCGGAGAGCTCGCCCGAGTGGCGGTCTGCTCCTTGGTGGCTTTTCGAGCACTGTCACCCAGGCAGGAGGCCCTGGCCGCGCCGGGACGAGGCGGTGGGTCGCTCAGAGGGGCCCACCCCTCAGGCAGGGCTGGGCGAGCCCCCGCCCGTCTGGGCTGCACTGTGGCCTGCTAAACCCTGGTGGCCCAGCTGGGAGGGGAGGAGGTGCTGTTTGGGAAACGAGCTCTGAGGGGTGGGAGGGCTGTTGGCACCTGAAATGGCTGGGCCTGCTCTGGGCCTCCCCCAACACGAGGCTGCGGGAACCACATCCACGCCCCTGGGCCCCTCACCCCGGGGCCTGTCTCCTGGGGCACCATGCGTACCCCTACACAAACCCCAGAGCCAAGGCAGCCTGAGGGCCCTTACCCGCTCTGAGCCCCGATTTGCACACCTCCCGTGACCGGGTGCTCACTACCTCACAGGCAGACCGTCCAGATACACAGCCGTGGAGCTGCAGTGAGGGAGGACCCCTCTCTGACTGCTAGGTCTCCGGATCATTTGGGCTGAGCGGCTGGTACCAAGGCCCCTACTGGGTGCATAGGCTGGGGCTCCTGTACGCCCAGGGTAGTTCACTTAATTAGTCCTGTGTGCATTTACTGAGTGCCTGCGCGTACCAGGCTCGGCCAGGAGCTAGGGCTACAGAAACGGGTGGCGCAGGGATCCTAAAAGGGCCCTGCCCGTGTGGCAGCGACTTTGCCACGGGAAGTGCCTTGGGTGTCGGAGCTGGAGAGGTGGGTCACAGGAGGAAGGGCATTCTCGCAGAAGAACAGCCTGTGCAGAGCCTGGAGGTCTGAGCTGGAAGGGGCGCTGGGAAGGCCCGGGTCATGGCCACGGGAGCCCCGCCCGGGTGACCGAGCGGGAAGGACACTCGTGGTGGGAGGGCAGTGTGGCCGAGGCGCTGGAGATGGACGCAGGGTCCCTGTGGGGGGCCTCGAGGAGCAGGCGGCCCCCACAGTCGGACGGTGCCGCTGGGGAGGACGTGTCCAGCCCCCGACAGGCTGGCGGGGTCACCCAGAAGCAGGCTCAGCTGGGAGGCATCCCATCCAGCGCGGGGTGTGCAGCGGGGGAAGGTCACGGGCGGGGCGGAGCAGGGGGGTCGGCAGTGAGGCCCCAAGATGTGAGTGCGTCGGGTCCCAGGGAAGTGATTCGGTGGAAGATGGACCGGGGCTGCTGGTGTCGTCCTCCAAGCACAGGGCAGGAGATTATCCTGGGGGAACCACAGGGGGCCCGGGGAGGAGGGAGGCCGGCGGGGCGGGGAGCTGGCTCGAGCCTCTGGAACCCGGTGGGGGGCTGGGGGAGGACTTGTGTTTTTAGGCTTCAAGAGTGAGTATCCGAGAGACAGAGACCACAGCCGATATCTATGACCTGTGACCTAGCCTTGGGGTCACTCTTGGAGGAGGGGAGCCAAGGTAAGGGAGAATGGATGGGGGAGGAGCAAGGTTCTAGAAGAGTCTGGGACAGGGGAGGTGGACAGTTCTCAAAGGGTCCAGTCCGAGCTTTCCGGGGCCCGTCCCCTGGGGCGCCCGCGCTGCTCTGTCTGCAGCGTCCCGGGGCCCTGAGCCTGGCAGTCCCCACAGGCGGGGGTGGCGCCGGCAGGGCCTGCGGGCATCTCTCCGGCACCGCCAGCCCCCTGCCGCCTTTCCTCAGCTCACCTAGCGCCTTCTCCCCGCCCCACACCCTGAAATAACAACAATGACAATGATAAAATCCCTCCCTCACGCTCCACTCCTTTCGCAGACAAACTCCTAGAGAGAGCTGCTGCGCCCACCCGCCCCCCTCGCCCCCGCCCAGCCCTCGGAAAGGGTCCTGCCAGCCTCCCAGCGACCCGACCCGTGTCACAGGCTCCGCCTGCATGAGGTCCAGGGGCCGCAGCAAACTGGGCGTTTGGACAGCAGGAAAGTGTCCTCAGCTGCGCGGTGGGTGTGGGCAGGGCTGGTTCCTCGGGGAGAGGCGGGGTGCTCGTCTCCCAGGTCCAGAGGGCTGCTGGCGCCCCTCGGCCGGCCCTGATCCAGGATGGCCTCATCTGGAGACCCTTCCCTTTGTGACACCGGCCTAGGCCAGGCGGGTACATCTCTTGTGGGGCCACCAGTGAAGCCACTACAACCTCCCACACAGACTCTGATGAATGTAGGTATTAGTTGGGATATTTGTCTATTTCAGTAGGTGATAGACACACACCAGCAAAGAATCCGGAAGTCCAGCAAGTCCCTCAGCAAGGTGAGCACCCTCCCCGACGTACCACTTCCTCGTGCATCCTTCAGAGATGCACCCTGTCGTGTACACGCTTTGTTTTTTTACAGGTTTATTCACGTACGGTAAACGGCGCATGTAAAAATATACGATTGAATGAGCTGAGATGCGTAGACACCCCGGGACCCTTCGCCACGTTCAGGACAGTGAACATCTCCATCAGCCAAAGTCTCTGCATTTTATTTTTATGGTAACGATGTAGCCAGGACTGAGCGGGGGCCTCCTTCCCACTGTGTAACTGCTGCCTCGTCGGGCTGGGCCTGCCTGTCCGTCAGTCCGTCTCAGGCCCTTATGAACCTCCTGCTAAAAATGCGTGTGTGGGGCTTCCGTGGTGGCGCAGTGGTTAAGAATCCACCTGCCAATGCAGGGGGCACGGGTTCGAACCCTGGGCCAGGAAGATCCCACATGCTGTGGAGCAACTAAGCCCGTGTGCCACAGCTACTGAGCCCGCGTGCTACAACTACTGAAGCCCGCGCGCCTGGAGCCCATGCTCTTCAACAGGAGAAGCCACTGCAATGAGAAGCCCGCGCACCACAACGAAGAGCAGGCCCTGCTCGCCGCAACTAGAGAAAAGCCCACACACAGCAACGAAGATCCAACGCAGCCAAAAGTAAATAAATTTATAAAAAATAAAATAAAAAGACCTGTGTGCCCGTCCCTGTGCACAGCTGCCCGGCTGCTGTAAGATAACTTCCTGGCAGCGCTACCCGAGCCAAGGGCTGCTTCTCGTCAGATCTGGCAACGTTCCCACCCGGGGAAGCAGCTGCACCCGCGATGCCCCACACCCCAGGTGAGGCCCCTCCTGCCCCCGCGTCTGCAGGGCCTCAGGAGGAGCCGCCTCCTCCGGGTGTCCCTGGTCACCACCGCGCCTTCATTTCCTGCCCCCCGATATCTGACACCAAATGCTGGGGGGTCTCCTGAGCTCTGCTCCAGGCCAGCCGGTCCCTTTTCTCGGCAACAAGAGTGATTTTTCAAGCTCATGACCCCTGAACTTTGAGGTGGCGCCCACACCCTGGAGTCCAGAAGGGCCCCCTGCCTCTGCATTGCATCACCTGAACCCAAGGGTTCTGTGCCTGCTGGGACTCTTCATAGGGAAGAAACCCCGAAGTGGCTGGAGCAGGGCACTGGGTCGAAGGGCATCCCCCCGACATTCACACCAACCCAGAGCCTCAGAATAGGACCTTGTTTGGAGGGAGGGTCTTTAGAGAGGTCATCCTGCCCCTCGCGCAGTGACAGAGGCAGAGGTGCGGGCCACAGCCACAAGCCAAGGAGCGTGGGAGCCCCAGAAGCTGAAAGGGGCAGGAAGGACCCCCCCTCCGCTGGAGCCGCCGTTGGGAGATGGCCCTGCGACACCAGCCTCCAGAGCTGACAGGGTGTGAGTTGATGGTGTTTGCAGCCCCCTAAGCTGTGGTCCTGTTAGGGCAGCCCCAGGAGACCGTGGAAGCAGAGTTCAGAAAATTACCCCACTCGCAGAAACGAGGCAAATGGGTGACGTGTGTCCCTTCACGGGGTCACTGTCTAACCAGCCTGCCGGGTGTCGCTCGGCCCGGGAGGGTTGCTTTCTCTGACTTGCCATTTATTATCGACCAGGCCCAGGTGCCACGAAGCTGGAGGTTACCTTGCGGAAAATAGGAAATGTGCAGGTTATTTTCCCCCATAAACATGCAGGTGACTTCTGTCTGGCGGAGAAGATAAGCAAGGTTGTGGCTTTATTGTCCTGTTAAGACATTAACCTGACATCAATGGTAGACGTTACCTCCTGAGCCCAGCTCAGCAGCCTCGTTCCGGAGCTCCTTCTCTGACTGCACGTGGATCCGTCAGGGTTTGACATTCTTCTTTGAACCAGCCTTGCCATCTAGACTCGTTCACCTTGTTAACGGGTGAGATAAAATTCTGACACGTGCTCAGTATATGTTTGGCTGAAAGCCTTTTGAAAATGACACTTTGACAGCAGAATGTGTTAAAGTGGGAAGATCAGCTCTTCGTTTCAGGCAAGGGTAGATCCAGGGACCAGATGATGTTATTAGGATTTGGATGAATTCTCCTTGCTCTTGGGTCTGCTGGCTGCACTCTGGGGCGAGTCACGGTGGCCAGACGACAGCCGGCCGCCCAGGCTCGCGTCCTCCTAGCCGCAGTCCAGTGTGCAGTTCCACTGGCTCTGTCCTGGTGCTCAGGCAGAAGCCTGGGGATTGTTCTGGTCAGACCTGATTGGCCAGGCCCCCCGCTGGCCAGGGGTCGCCAGGCTCCTACTGGGGCTTAGGTCACACCTGGCCTTGACACCCGAGGTTCAGGGTGTTCCCTAGAGGGGTCTGGAGTTGCACACACCTGGCTCCACACTCAGCGCTTCCATCCACTTGTGAGCTGAGGCAGACGGCATGTTGCAATGACAGCACCCGGCCCATAAGTTCTTCATATAACTTGCCCTCCGCCTGTGGAGAGCAGGGGCCCTGCCCTTGAATTCGGGTGGGAGCTTGTGACCACGGCGGAGGCAATGCTGTGTAACATTTTTTTTTAAATAAATTAATTTTATTTATTTATTTAGGCTGCGTCGGGTCTTCCTTGCTGTGCGCACAGGCTTTCTCTAGTTGTGGCGAGCAGGGGCTACTCTTCGTTGCGGTGCACGGGCTTCTCATTTCGGTGGCGTCTCTTGACCTCAAGCCAAGGGGCTTGGCTTCTCTGCGTCTCTACGTGTGACGTGAGGGTAATAACACCTGCCAACTATGCTCATTTGACAAAAATATTTTTTTATTTTTATAGATTGACTGATTGGCCGCACCACATAGCATGTGGGATCTGAGTTTCCCTGCCGGGGATCGAAACTGCGCCCCCTGCAGTGGAAGCGCGGAGTCTTAACCACTGGACCGCCAGCGGATTCCCTCTTCAAAAAATATTAACAGAACACCTACTGTGTTCTGGGCACTGTTCCCGGCCCCGTGACCCCACACGAAACAGCCCGGCGCGTAAGAGGGGTTCCAAAAACATTAGCTCCTTCCCCAATTTTCAGATCTGTGCACTGCTAAACATCTCCTACAAAGCAATAACCGCTTGTCAGGTACAGACATGTCAGTTAAAAGCTGGCCGTCACCTCCAGGTCACTGGGCCTCTGGTGCTTCACTGGTCCCTCAGGGCCGCCAGACGGAGAGGTACGGGCAGCCCTGGTGGGGATGGGCTGTTCCTTTTACTGCTAAGTGGTACGATCTAGTCAAGTGGAAAAGTGCTACTTGCTGGGTAATAAAAGCTTCCATTGTTCACCAGCCCTGGAAACATATTAATGAATAACCCAGTGTGCGGCCCCTGGCCCCAGCGGTGTGAACGGTTGTTAATACGGCAGGAACAGGTACAATCTTCCTTTTGTAGTTTTAAGTGGGCCCAGAGCCCCAGGTCGACCAAGGCCCAGACAACGGGATGGGCTCTCCCTGCAGACCCCTGTTGTCGCCCCACAGACGTTTGGTGGAGCTCTGTGCTGGCTCTGGACAGAGAATCCAGCCTCAGGCACAGAGATCCGGTGGTGTGCACCACGGGTGGGGGGGCGGGCTTCAAGTGGGTGGAGGCAAGCAGATGCCTTCTGGAGGAGGGGGCACCCAAGTCATCCCTGGAAGGGGGCAGGCCTGTGGGGGAGGGGCTGCTGGGACTGGCTGGCAAGCTCCTGACATTACAAGGGGCAGGGCCTGGGGGGAGGAAAGCTTGTCCAGAGGGGCCAGTGGTGACTCTGTGATGCTAAGGCCCCTCTGTGCTTACGTCTGGGGCCTGGCACACGGCGGGTGCCAGTGACTGTTATGCAGGTGGGGATTGGAGCTCAGGGCAGAATCACAGACAACAGGGTGTGCTGGGCGGGCGGCCTCCCACTTTCCCCGTCACCCAGATGAAAGCCAGAGGCTCTGCCCAGGGTGCAGGGCTGGGAGGGGCTCGGCTGGGGAGAGCTGGGGTCCCCACTGAGCCCTTTCCCTGTTGTTACTGTTGTCATAACAACAATAATAAATGACCACCAGGGGCTTAACTGTTTATGATGCATTTTTACTCTCTTATCTGTTGAATTGTGTCCCCAAATTCATATGTTGAAGTCCTAGCTCCCCCTACCTTTTCGGGAACAGGGTCCTTGCTGATGTAATTAGTTAAGGTGAGGTCATCGGGGTGGGCCCTAACCCAATACAAGTGCGTCCTCATAAAAGGAGGAGATTTGGACAGTGACACGCAGGGAGAGGCCACGTGATGAGGCAGAGATAGGGTGATGCATCCACAAGCCAGCAACCCACCAGCAGGGATGGGAGAGGCCAGGAGTGGACGCTCCAATCTCAGACGACTGGCCCCCGGAACTGTGAGAGAATTTCTGTTGTTCTAAGCCGCCCGGAGTGTGCACTTTGTTATGGCAGCCGCAGGAAGCTAACGTTCCTTCCTTCTCACCAGGCAAGCACCAGGATTAGGCCCTGGTGCCCAGTGGGGAGAAGCCCCTGCAGACTCTCGGGGATACAGAGACCCATAGGCACAGCCTGCAGGACCGTTCAAGTCTGCTGTGTGTCCTTGGGCAAGTTGCTGAACGTCTCTGAACTTTCATTTCCTCGTCGTGAGGGGGTGACGGCTGGACCCTCTGCCGCTGGGTTGCCCTTAGGGTCATAGGGTCCCGCAGAGCAATTGGCGGAGGGTCCGGGCCTTTTAGAGCCCGGGGGTGGGGCCCTGGTGGTGAGGGCGGGCCCTATAGGGCGAGGGGCGGGGCCAAGCGACCAGGGGTGGCTCGCCGCTCGACATGATCGGCGCTCCTGCGGGGGCCTGCTCGGCGCTCGGCCGGCCGTCCTGCGTACAGCGCGCGTCGCTCTTGGAGACTCCGGGCGCCGCCATCATGTCGACGGCCATGAACTTCGGGTCCAAGAGCTTCCAGCCGCGGCCCCCGGACAAGGGCAGCTTCCCGCTGGATCACTTCGGTGAGCGGGGGCGGTCGGGGCTCCCCGGCCGGACCGGCGCAGCTCTGGGCCGGCTCGTTGGAGCCGCGCGGCCGGGGAGGCACTGGCGTCTGCTCGCGGTGCGGGCGGGGCCGCTGAGGCTGGGTTCGGCCCGGCCGGGTCCGGTCCCGGCTCAGGGCCTCCGGCCGCGGCCCGAGGGTGGGCGCCGGACGGGGCTGGGCCCTCGGAACCGGGGAGGGGACGCGGAGTCCCGGCCTCCAGTCTGGGGCCGACGTTGCGTTGACAGGGTCCTTCGCGGGTGTGAGGCCCGCGGGGTTAAACGGGTGTCTCGCGCGAGAGCGAAGGACGCTCCTGATCGTCGCAAACTACGTGGAAACCAAGGCTTCGGAGATAGGTTTATGGATGGATTTTTCGTGTGCCAGCATTTTACTGAGAAATGTTAGACACACGCGGCAACGTCGGGAGAATCCCGCGTGAGCTGCCCGGCGCCGCCGCCTGGATGCCCTCCTTCTCCTGTACTTGCTTTCCCACTCGGCACGTTTGCTTTTTCCAGTCTGTTTCCAGCGTGTTTCGGGAGGAAACCAGTTTTCAAAGGGGGAGGAGGGGTTCTGCCAGTAAGGCTGCGGGGCGGGCCTGTGATGTTTTCACTTTAAAAAGGAAACGCTTTTCTGTTTGTTACAGGGGAATGTAAAAGCTTTAAAGAGAGATTCATGAAGTGTCTCCGGGACAACAATTTCGAAAATGCTTTGTGCAGAAACGAGTCAAAAGAGTATCTGGAGTGCAGGATGGAGAGGCAAGTACATGCCAACGGTTATTTATGGCTTCTCCCCCCTCCCGCGTCTCTGGCTAAAATGTTGATTCCCGGAGGCCTCAGTTCAGCTTGTGTTTCGGAACTGTAGGGCTGCTTGCCCGCGAAGTTGAGGCTTTTCAGAGATTCAGTTGTACTCCAAGTCGTTTAGCAAAATCACGGGAACCTTTTCTCCCGTGATAGCATTGGACATGATTGCCCTCCTCCGAGTATTTTCTTCCCAAATTTGGGGGCTACTGACATGTCATTCAGCTTTCAGAGTAGCACATCATAAAAATGCTGACTGAGTCGAAAGATTTAAAGATTTGTGGGTACACAGCTTATTCCTTTAAATATTTTTCTTGGAACATAAAAGTATGTGCTCTGTTGTTTTGTTCCACGTCGGCTCAGAGCTGTTTGCAGCGTGACAGGCGAGACAGTGGGCCCCGTAAGGAACGATGAGCGACGAGTGATTCTTCCTGCCTTAATCAGAATTTACTGGATGTCACCTTTAAAGAAGACAAGAACGCTCTTAACTGATCTGTTGAGATTTTCCTTAAAATAAGTACTATTGTAAACCTTCACGGGGAAAGTGCGTAACGTACAATTACGTCCTTGGGTGGGAACTTTTATTTCTGCCTTTTGAGCCCTTCATTAGTTCACTAAGGAGTCGAGTCATCAGAGGCCGTGTCTGAAGACAGGTTGACAAAAACCTGAGCCTCATTTTCATTTTCCCTTAACAAACTCAGACATTCCGCCCCAGGCGAGATCTGCTGTGCTTCTCAGGCCCCGGTGTGTTGAGGGCTGTCGGGGACACTGGGGCCTTTGAGGGGGACGGACCCTCAGGTGGCTTCCTGAGTCGCGCAGGCTCGCGGCGCTGGCATCTGACGACGGGCCGGCCCCGGCCCCGAGTAGCGCATCCGTCGGATCTGCACGTTCCAGTCACTCTCTTTCAAATTGATGCGTCTTCAAAACCCCTGAACTCCTTGAGTTTCTTCTTGGTGTGGCCACGCCTCCGAGACTGAGTTTGGAGCTGGTCTCCGCCCTGTGTGAGGGTGTGAGCAGGTCGCCCGCCTCCCCGAAGCTCGGGTCACCGTCCCTGGGTCAGTCATCCCTGGGCCAGCACGCGGCCCAGCAGCTCCTGCGTGAGGTTGCTCGGAGGGTTTGGCTGGTTGGGTCCCAGAGCA